CTGCAGAAAGTGAAGTAAAGCTTGACAAACAACAATAAGTTCCATGAGATTGATATGGAGGGAAGACTTAGAGAGAATCTATCTCCCTGAAAAATCCTGAGTGTTGAGATATGCTGCCCCCTTAAAGAAAGAGAAGCATCAGTAAAAGGTGACATTCTGCATCAGGAGAAGAAGGAGAAACACCCATTGTAGTGTGGTCCTGATCCAACCACCAGGCAAATTTGGTCTGTAAGGAAGGGGGAAGAGTGAGAGAGGCATCTAAGAGATCTTGAACAAGGCCCCTTTGGATTATCAATATCCACTGAAGATGAATTATTTAGGCATGACCAAGAGAAATGAGTGCTTCTAGAGAAGCTCAAACGAGAGAGAACCTTTCACACAGGAGGAGATGGAGAGGATGAGACACTGCGTATGAGATATTCCATAGCTCTCAACAGAAGAGGTGAAGGTTGGATCCAACTGATGAGGGGATTGAAAAACAAATATTGTGTGATTGTGAGGAAAGACGTCTCCTCTTTGAGAAGCCAAAAATAAACTGAGTATGTAGGACAGAGTCGTTTTGTGAAGAGGCAAGAAGAAGCCAGTCTTGCTTATGATGGTGGAAACAAAGACCCCTGGAATGAAGCAGGTGGGCAAAAGCCCAGACTACTCAACAAGTCTGAATGGAAGTGCCCAAAGCTGAAACACACACCCTTGATGAACAAAGTAAATATACTGTCTGGATGCAGGAGAGATGGGGATATGCATCCGACAAATATATCTTCATCATCCACAAACCTGGAGTGAAAGCCCAAAGAAGAGCTAAGTACAACTCCAAGGTGCAGTTAGTAAATGCTAAGAAGTGGTTCAGAAACGATAAATCGATGACTGGGTGCCAATCCCATCTTTTTTGGGAAGAACAAACAGACGAATAGGATCTCCACATTCAATGGCACCTTTGTGAAGTAAGTCCACAACTACATCCAAAAGATGCCGATAAAAAACAGGAACCCTAAGAGGAAGGAAGAAAACGGGATTATGAGACACTGGGAGAGGTGAATGGATTGGTAGGCCAGATCTTTTGAGATGACTTTTAGAATCCGTGGATCTACAGCAAAGGACCTCCAAACTTGGCCAAAGTGAAGGAGTCTGGCCCTCGCTGTCCCTAACCCAACAACATAGTCATTGATGTGGAAGGAGAAGAAAGAAACAGGGACTGAAACACATCTGTTGAATAAACAAGAGGCTAAGGAGAATAGGGAGCTATGCAGATGGGCTGACTCAACTCTCGTCTCCAACAAATAGAGAATACCCCCAAACACCTCTTGATGCAAAAAAGGTGCCATGTGCAAGTCACCCAGGAAAACAAACCCAAGATAAAATTGCACCCCTGTCTAGAAGATCTCAACAACAGAGTAGCCACATCTGTAATGCCAGGGCCAAAGATGAAAGGCATGCCATGGTAGCAAAAAGGTGAAGGGAGGATAAGGAATATAGAAGGGTAGTCGGGGTAAGATAAGTACGAGAAAACTGTGATTGGAAAAAAACTAATAAAGTATTGGAGTTCGATCCCCCCATAGGGATAAGCGACTCCAAAGGCTGCAAATCTAAACAAGGGAAGTCAGAACAATGACAAGCAAAAGCATGATATCATCCATAGTATGTGGGGGTTGAGGCATAATGCCCCCGAATGCAGTTGCTTCCCAAAACGACTTACATGAACCACAATATCCGTGGAAGGAGGAAATACTAAATATTGACCCAAAGGCTAGTCCCCGAGAATGGCAAGGGTGGAACCATAAGAAACAGGAGAAAGGACAGAACATATCTCATTAATCAATTCCACAAAAGGTGAAGGATGTCTGGGCAACTCCCCCAAAATGACACAGGAGTGCATATTCAGAAAGGGGAAAAAAACCTGTCTAAATCTGATTCTTCCAATCAATCAAACCCTGAGCAAGTATAATAGGATCATCATCAGTGTGTTATGAATGTTGCATAAAAGCAGTCAATTTTCAACACTCCAAAGCCATCACTTCATGAGCTGATAGTCATGGTTCTGACCTCGTGGATGTGGTCGGTAAATCTGCTGCAGCAGTAACTGTAACTGTGAACATCTGAAACTGCAAGTGCATAGTTTAGAAAGTGAAGTAGGAGGGAAGAGAAATAATAATAGTTCTTAACTCTCCAGATAGAACAAAAACATTATTTAACATAGTTTTAACCATGCCAGTTTGTTATTCAATACACCTATCTCCCAATACACTGATCAAAATGTGTATTAGATGGTTTCTTTTATATGTAAGAAAAAAAATTCAAATTGCAAGATGTTTACTCAACTTGAAATAAAAACATCACGAATACCTATAAGAATTCATGTAAAAATTATGTACAATTTAGAAGAACATACTCTTAAGACAAGTATAATCTATATAATAACTAATTAATGAAAAATACAATTACAGATATATAAAAAACAAAATGTAAAAGAAAAAAAATATTTACAAAACCTGTGGCGTTGTAAAGTAAAACTCACTATTTCCAGAGCAATGGGATAGGTTCTCTGAATAATACATTTGATAAGATACGTATTACAGAGTAATACTGAGTTTCTTTGAAAAATTATAGTTTGAGAAATGAAATAAAGAGACTGAACACACTGTAAAATACAAAATTATAATCTTTATCATAACAGAAAACATAACCACAGTGCATGTACTTGCTTAAACAAAGGATTGTTGCTTTACTGCATTAGAACTGAGAACTCTCTCTTCAGTCTGTACTTGATGATAACTTCTACCAGACTGTGTAAATCTAAAATTCCTTCCATAATGGGCAATGTCAAATATACCTAGAAGGACTTTTGCTACCAACATGACTAATCATCCTCATTCAAATATAAGAGAGGTTGTAACCTCGAGATTGCACCTGATCTACCACTGATGGACATTAGTGTCTATGTTCTTGCACAACATGCAGCATTATAGCCATACACTAAATGGATAGAGCAGGTGTAACTTTCAGTAAATGACAAAGAACAAAGGCAGCTAAACAAATGAACTTAATGACTTTCTTGACCATATACTGAATGAAAACTACAAGTACCCAAAATAAATGACTAATTTCAATAATAAAATATTAAGATAAGAAGGTAGAAAATGCATGGTATGTATATATACCACAAACTAAATGTGGATGATGGAAATGATGAACATAAATCAGGTTTCCAACAGGTCTGAAACACTCTTCAAGAAAACTGAAAAATTTAAACTACATAGTTCAATCATAATTTTGGAAAAAACAAACAAACAAACAAGTCTTATTTAAAAACAAAGATGTTTTATACTGAGTACAGAGGGATTTGACTGATAGCACGATTCAAGCTTATTTTCTAGCTTAATGATAAATAAATCAATACTGAGTCACTGATACTACTTGTATGTTAATTACTTAAAATCACTATCTGAGCTGTAATATCTGATGCATCTATCTTATGAGGTTCGTCACTTACCAGGTAATACTGCCTTTATGACCAAATTATAGTGTATATATCATAAAGTAGATTCAATAGCTGATATATTTATTAGCATGTCTTACAGTGTATATATGATCAACAACTGTTAACCATGAAATAAGATGACTGTTGAGTTCATAAACTGGTTTCTTTTTAATAAAAACAATATTATTTTTCAGCTAATGGACATTACAAACTTTACAAGAAGTAGAAATAAAGTTTCCATGATGACATCATAGCAGTCACATATACATGAGATTAATTGCACTTTAGAAGAATGAGTTGTAACGCAGTCGATTGTCACCACAGATACAAGCCATTGTAATGAAGTTGTGCTTATCTCCTAATACCATTAAAAATATAATAAATGGGAATGTGAAGTTGACAAAAGCTCATATGCCTCCAGCTACACTTCAAAATCAGTAACTGGTATTTTCAGGTTAAATTGATTTCTCTTAGAGCAACAAAATAAGTCCACAGAATAACAGAAGTTACAACCAAGGTATTTACTACAAAGTAATTCTGAATCCCCTAAGTAGCTGAGTTTCTGAGAAATAAATAGAGACAATTGTTCAAAAACACAATTAACAATTTTTATTTAAACACAAACGTGATATGTGTACTTGCTTATGGACAACTGACAGTCACTTTTACAGGAGAATTAGATTGATCACACTGGTATTACTCACTCAAGACTGATTGATTGACTCTTTCTAAGTCATGCACCAGACTTACTAAGCCTTATGTTACTTTGATAATGTCAGATTTACCCAGAGTGACTAGCACTGCCCACATGATTACATAGTCATTCCCATTAGAAAATAAAGGAGGTTGTAATATCAAGATCATATTGGAGAAAACCTCTGTACACATTCATAGATAAGATGCAGTTTTGTAGCTATATCTCCCACAGTGAGATCAGGTATTATCCCATTGGAACAGCACAGAACAATAAGTAGATAGAGTAATAGAAACTTAACAACTTGCTTGACCACGTGTTATGTGAAAAGTGCAGATACACCTAAATAACTGAAAAGTTTTAAAAATCCTACATTAAATTAAGGAGGTAAAAATGCAAGGTATGCTTGCATACCAGAAATATGACTAAAGAAAGTGGAATCATAAAATATTTGACTATATACCTGTGTGTTGTGAAGTCTCCTGATGAGCCTAAATAGTCTTTATTTTCCCTTTAGTCTACTTAAACATTGTTTGGGAAGCTGATGTCCAGGTAAAGTAGAAAGTCTGTGAAAATGTGATCTATGATTGACTACAATATCTTTTGCAGAAACTTGTTCCTATGGAAATTGCAATGTCTGCCAATAGTGCATGCTCATGGTCATCAAAGTGAGCATGATTGACAATAGAAAAGGTAGTTATGTAGCACAGAACCTAAAACATCATTCTTATTAAGTGCAACTAATCCTTAGTACTCTTCCCATTTTATTATGTCTTATGACCAAATGATAAATACACTGAAAGTAACAAATCTATGGATTAAAATTACCTTTTGATAAATGACAGCAATAAGTGCTGCTTTCACTTGAATGGCAGCAGTACATACATAGAACGCAAATTGTGAAAAGGACAAACTTCCAAAAAAGGCTATGACAAACAGCAACACTGCATATAAAAATCCTCTCCAAACTGGTTCATCACTGGACACATAGTCAATCAGCAAGCTGAAAATTATTAAATTTATTATTTTCCAACAGGCCCATCTCTATGCATTACTAGCACATACAACTTACTGGCTTTGTAAGGAATGTTTTTAGTTAGGTTTTATAAGTAATGTTGCAAGCTGCAGTTGGTTATTTAATTTAGGGTTAGTACAGAATAACTTACTTTGTGTAATAATGCTAAATACTAGTAGAAAAATTTGAAAAAATTATGTAAGATAGTATTGTGGTACTCCTGATTTAGAGGAATTATGGTACAAAAGTAAACTACTTTTGCATATAAAGAGGATGGAATATTAATGGCTGGATAGAAAGTTAATGTGAGAACAAGAGTGGAAGAGTATGCCTGCTTATTTGTTGTTAAGAACAAAGCTACATGATGGGTTAACTGTGCTATGCCATGCTTACCAAGAGGTTTCATGTTTCATGCCCAGTTACTATTAAAAACAAATGTGGGGCCATGTTATAATAATAACAATCAAAACCCATTATTCAAACTGACAAGAGTGGCCCATGAGTTATTGGTGAGTGGTGCTGCCCTCCTACTAGCCTATTACTTCAAAATTAGGGACATCTAGTGTAGATTGCCCTTGAATAGCATTACATAAAATTCACCAAAACAAACAAAGAACTCTTTAGTAGTCAAGTTAGAAAAAAATAATTCAGGCTGCAGTTTATCACATGACTTCAACTGGATTTAGAGAGCTCTAGAACATAAGAGGTTGTGAATTTTGTAAATAAGAAACAAACTATGGGAGAGTATGCTACATTGTATTTGCATACTCAATACATCTCTTATTTGTTTTCTGATTGGCCTACTGTAAGTTAACATTTTTTTACTCTGAAAATATATTTCTAATAGATACTTACCTTGATCTCGGTCTGCCCTCTAAACATTGCTAAAAACATTTTGCTACAGTGCACCAGTGTTTATACTGCATCAGTTTTGCACCATTTCAGAACATATGCTGATCATGTAACTACTCTCCACCAATCGTCCTGCACCATTTATACTGGCACAGTTAGCTCCCTCTACTATTCTAGAACAATTCTCACTTTCAATAATTGGCAGGCACAAACCAGAAACACTGGCATACCAGTGGGAAGGAAGGGTGGGAAGTGGGTGAGAGGAGGTAAGTACCTATCGGAAATACCTTCTCAGTGTAAGAAAATGTTAACTTCTGAAATGGTCTTACCTCCTCTCACCCATAGCTAGAATCCCATATTGCTCAGGTGGAAGGGCCAGTGAAGGTGCATCAATCTCAAATCAAGCAAAAAGAGACCACACTGAAAAAACGAGTGTGCTGGAATATGAAAAGAAAGCACACCAGTGGGGTACAGCATTACTTCTGGAACAGGTATACTCTTTGCCCAGCAATTAATACAGTAACACAATTTGAGCAAAACTGAATGGTAAGGTACAACTGAAATCAATAAAGAGATGTAAAGCACGGAATTAGTGTAGGAAGTATTGGATAACTATGACATGAATCAGTATGGTGTTGACTAACATGGAAAGGCTCATGTGTATGCAACCACTTTCCCTATATGTATGTGCCAAGGGAAGTGTTGTAGGTTACATCGGATTACACCAAGTATCATCCATCTAGGATAAACATCTACTGGAAATGCCTTGTATAAGATATAGCAATCAACAAGTGCAGTCTGCCTGGACAAAAACCTCCAGAATAAGAACCTTGGATACATAGGATTATGAAGGATAAAAATTACTGTTATGAGTGCGATCGTGAGGGTCATCATAACTAGCCCTCTGTGCACATCTACATCATAATGAACCATCATAAGAAACAAGACATAGTACTGAACATAGTGATAGTGAGTCATAGTATGGTGCCAGTAAATGTGCTAGAGAGAAAAGCGATATAACAATACATGGCTAAAGCTTAAGGGCCAGGAAATGTTTTTGAAAAGGCCAAGTGTGGTCTGCTTGGGCAAAAAACATCCAGGGGAAGAGCCTTGAGATACAATGGATTATCCCAAGTGTGGTCCATCTAGGCAAAAACATCCAGTGGAAGCACCTTGCATAATAATTTGAGGTCAACAAGTGTGATTTTCCCTGGCATAAAACATCCAGGGGAAGTGCTTGGATACAAAGGATTAGGCCAAGTGTGGTCCAAATTGGGTGCGAAGAAACAATGTTCAGACAGAGACTTTCCATGAACAAGTCAGAATATGCCAGTTGTGTGAGATGACGAACCCAACCAGTGAGTACAATAGGGGACAGATCACAGGATACAGAGGGAATACTTGGAAAAAATAGATGGAAACAATAACATAAAAGGAGGAAGTACAAGCCACATAACATCTCAGGAAATGAACCATATAAAAAAGTCAATCCGGAATAAAATGGGAGTACAGGTGGTAAGTGGTAAGTAAGGAAACAGGTGAGAAGGCCAAACCACCTGCCCAAGCAGCAGATGTCTAAGAAAAGAAAGTCCAATCAAGAGGAAAGGGAAAGGATGCAGGAAACATCCATGTCATAAATATGAGAATGATGATGACTGCAAGCACGTAGAAGGAGGAAAAGGAATTAAGGGGAAGATGGTACAAGGAACATGTAGCAATGGGTTCAAATGGAGAAATGGACAGGGCATGAAAGACAAAAATTGAGATCCACTAAGGCAAAACAAAGGGAGATGGAGGGTGGACAAGATTAAAGGAACAGAAAAGGAGGGAAGTAACAGGGAAGGAGAAAGCTTTGCAGAAACGGGAGAGTCTGAAGGTGTTCAACAGGGCAGCCCTATAACCAGAAACAGTTAACACAGACAAACCCTGAACAAACAACCAGGTGAAGAACTTGGAAAGATGAGGTATGAAAAGGTGGGAGGGGCAGAAGCCACAGCAAAAGGACCAAGGTCTGAAAGTAAACCACTGCCTCTGATACACAGACAAAAAGGTAATTCAAATGGAATGGGAAAGAAGAGACACTACACGAGGGGTGAGTCCCTGAGCTGAGGCAAGAGACCAAACAAAAGCCATGCATGAATATAGAGTTTGGTGACATAGGAATAAACTATGTTGAATTGTGGTTGTTGGAGGAGAGACTGGAACAGAGGTAAAGGCAGGGGATGTCACTCCAGTAAGGGCCAGAGCAGACAGAAGGAAGTTCTAGCAGGCTAATATGGAGTAACAAGTACGACACAAAAAGGAGTGGTCTGAATAAAGGAAAAGACTCTGGAGAGGAGGCTGACTGGAGGGTAGGCACATGGGTGAAGACCTCTCGAATCCTGACTGAATGCATCTCCTCCTAGAGCTGAAGGGAGTGGAGCCAGAGACCAAAACGAAGGAATTTTGGTGTTCCAGTGAGTGGCAAACACAACTAAATCTAGTGTTCCCAGTTGAGAATACACCCACCGAAATACTGTGGAAGAAGTGACCACTCTGTGGAGAGAACCTGGTTGAGTTAAGATAAGTGATTAGCCACCAGCTTCATGATGCCAGGAACGTGACACACCAAGATCAACATGTAGTGGTTGTGGGCCCAGTGAAGAAGATCCAGATTCTGAAAACACAGAGATATGGATTTGATGATATAGCCAGTGACAGAGGAATAGTCGGAACGAATCATAACCACTCACACTCTTAGGAGTGGGAGGAAATGATACAGAGCCCAAGAAACTGCCAAAAGTTCCAGGATGTTGAAGATGGAGAGTAGTCTCCTCAATGGACAATCAACCAGAAATCTCTTAGGATTCGAGGATAGCCCACCAACCTATCAAGGAAGCATCGGTAAACAGATAAGACTCCAGACAAGGTGAAGGAATGGCAACACCCACCATAGTCAGTTCTCTGTTGAGCCACCATACAAGGTAAGTCCTGATCCCAGGGGGGAAGGGTAATGGGACTGTCCAAAGGATCATGGGAGAAGTTCCATTGGTCAAGAAGCAATGCATGTGAGCTCGACCCAAGGGAATGAGAGCTTCCAAGGGAGCCCACATTCCTAAAAGAGAGAGAGAGAGATCCCTCACATAGTGAAAAAGGAGAGTGTAGGGCCATTGAGACCACCCACTCCATATCCCTGAGCTGAAGGGAAAAAAGGCTGGGCCAGACAAAGATGGGAACTGAAGAAAAACCCAAATGGAATAATATATTGAGTGGAGTTAAGAATGGACTTCTCCAACTGGATCAGAAAACCATACCCAATTAGTTTCCTGAAGAAGTAAGCAGGTGTGATTGACTGACTGGGCACAGGAAGGGGTGAGCTGGAAGGCACAAGCCACGTGGATGGACCAAAGAAAAGGACGTAACATTGAAGCAGTCAGAATATGAAGATAAGCATCCATCACAATGATTTGGTCATCCAGCATCCTGGGTAAAAAAAAAACGTGAAGTGAGAGGTAAGACTCCATGGAGAAGTGAGATGGTTCCAGATAAGAGTTCAATGACAGGTCTCCAATGTCCCATCTTTCTAGGAACAACAAATAGATGGGAGTAGAACCTGGGTTGAGTGGGTACCATCCATTTAACAGCCCCTTTGTATAGTAGGTTTTGAACAGACTAGGCAAGACAATTAGAAGAGGTACAATCCTGAGGAGGAGGAAAGGAGATCTGGAAAATGGATAGGGGAGGAGCAGAACTGAAGGCAAAAACTTTCAAACAGAACCCTTAGAACCAACAGAACTGTTGTGAAGTGTAGCCAAAAAAAGAGATAAGCTAAACATACTTAGAGAAAATACTCATTACTAACAAATTAACAAAACCAAGAAATCTGTAGAATTTACAAATTACATAAAAACAATGAATTTGCAAAACTATGAAATTCGACCTAAAGCATAAAACAGTAAGCAACACCTATAGTACAAAATTACTAAAGGAACTTAGAAAATAAAAGACACGTATATATCAAACCTACAAGTCCACTCAAAAACTAGTAAGACAATGGACACAAAAGTAAAACCTACCCTGAAGGACACAAAAATGAAAAGGCACCCAGTTAACAATAAAAAATCTACTCAAATATAGTACCCAATTAGATGTGACTAGTAGTAATGAAAAAGGTGCTTACAAACTAACCAACACAAACAGTGAAAGGAAGTATAACTAATGAACCAACATACCCACAAAATTGGCCAAACTTACAATTACCCAAACAGTAACTATTGTGCAAAACCTGTATATATACCGAAAATTGAACAAAAACAAAGTAATAATCAAACTCTAAGCACAAATTTAAACTAAAGTAACTTAGATGGTAAAATAATTATAAAAATCTAACTTACCAAATACTTAGCAGAGAAGACATGAAAGACCTAAATTATCGTGTGAGGAAATTAGGTCAATCCACATAAGCTCACATAAACTCACTAAACATGGGTATACCTACTGGGAGTGAGATATACATGCTGAAAAACATTTTCCACAGATATGCTGGGAAAAAAGAACAATACCTAACCCAGGAGATTACATGGAGGCACAGTAACTGGTGAAAGGTGCAGTAGAAAGAAATTTCCACTCAGTAGTTATCTCCATTATTACAAAACATTATAATGGGAGAGGAAGAAATCGTTGGCAGAACATAAGACATGAGCTCTCGCAAACTAAAGCCTGTACTTCCCCAGGAGACATCATCGACCCTGAGATCTGGGGACTCATGGCAGAACCATTGTCGACTGTCGTGGTAATTTCATCATCTGCAATATTAAATCTCGATTTCATATGAACAAATTAGAATTTGAAAAACAGAAATATTTTAAAAACAAGCGAGTAGAAACAATGGAAATCAAACAAGAAATCAAAACTTGAAGTTGAAACTGATATAAATTTGTGATCGAGCACAAACAAAATTTTATAGTCACATGGAGAATGAGTTAAAACACACTTCTGTACACTAGAATGCCAATTAAGAAAGTGAGGTTTGTTGTAGAATAGTAGAGGGAGCAAGCTGTGCCAGTAAGAGCATGCAGTATGATTAGTGGAGGATAGTCACATGATCAAAACATGTTCTGAAATGGCACAAAACTGATTCGGTATAAAGACTGGTACACTGTAGCAAAATATTTTGTAGCAATGCTTGGAGGGCAGGCCTGGATCGAGTTAGCTTTGGATCAGGAGCGGTACCACCATTTTGGAACTTAATGGTTAGAAATTTACTGCATCCAAATGTGGTATTCAGATTTACTGATGTCCAAAATAAAAATCTGGTTTCCACCAAAATAAAGGTTCAAATTGCACTAAAGATAAATAGAACATGGATTGTAAAAGAAAACAAACAAATGACAGCGTGTAAATAAATAACACCGAATCTGCATTAACATTGTAATTACACCAAACTGTTGGCAACCTGTTGTTGGCAACCTGTTGTTCTGTGTGGCTATTAAGTAGCTGATAGATTGAGAACCAAAATGAGAGAGAGAGAGATAAATTTTATAAATACATGATAAAAACTTAATGCATAAATTCAAGAAACAAGTTATATATTACAAATTACCATTGAACAGCTACAATTTCAAGGAAATATGCAAAATTTGTATGAAAACAAAAATCAATGAGTAAGTAGCTTTTGTCAACACAAACTGACCAATTTTTTAAACAATATTAACACTTGTAACTATATATTAGCTTTTGATAATTTCAAATGTTTCTTAAATAACACCTTAATACTTTTTTTAGCAAATAGTATTTGATATCAAATAAACAACTACGAAGAGCAATGTACAGCATCTATTTCATAATACTGAAGGATAATCACACTTTATATGAATGTATCTGCAATTATTTTTACTATGTTTAGTGGCTATATATCTAATTCATGGTGAATTTCTCATAATTCAACAAAGTAATGCTGCCATGAGAAGACTTATGACTAGAGAAGTACATCACATTCCTTTCGAAAAAGAAATACTCATGCAGAAAAACTGTAAGATGATGGAGAGGCACAGGACATAAATAGTAAGGTTCCCATAAAGGTCACTTTTGGCCCTAAAATCCAGTAAACAATAAAGTACTAAGAAAGTAAACAGTTCATGGTACTTTTGATAGTTCTGGTACTGCTCTACCTCCCAGCAAATTAATATGAACATTTCTGGAATATGTTTGTTTATATGGGGTGCATATTATGGGTATTATATCGATCTCTGCCAAAAATCAGTCATTTACACAAAAACAGACTCGACTTTAACATCAAGCACATACACGTACCTCCATAATATTTTAACAATATATGTAATAGGGCAAAAGACATATCAAATGCATAAGGATAATTAATAAATATGATGTCACAGATGCTGAGAACATCAGCAACTGTGACATCGAACAATGAATATTCATATATACTGAGACATTATATATCATTTATACTATAACATTCATAACACTGTGGAATCTAGTATTCATACTCTTGTTTTTCAAATGCCCAGCAGACATACAGAAAATGCAACATTGGTCCACTGACACTCACAAGGTTTCTGGACACTTTCAAGATCACATCACTGATGTGGCAGGGCAGAACAATAGTCCTGATGACACTAATGCTTATAAGGTTCTAGTAACAATAGTATAAAATGTACATTGTATAAATGAGTATTCCACATCTTTACATACTCTTTCATATCACGTATGTGCTTTATGTTTGGTGCAATTATGTTTTCTGTGGGTTACAGGAATAACAATGTGATTTCATGTACGTGTTTCTTCCTCAGTTTTTCACGTGATAACACCCTGATGAGACAAACAAATGGGTTTTTGCAATTGGTACGTGTGAGGCTATCATATGTGTTTGAGTGACTGAATTTCCTAACAATATCAGAAACAGACCCTACAGGGACCATCCTTTAGAAAAGTCTTAAACGTTTTCCTAAAAGTTAAAAACTTACACAGCAGTGCTTAGACTTCAAAATCCAAAAAAGTAAAGACTATAAAAGAAAGCTCTCTGATACAATAAAAAGCTATTGCAATGAAGCTGAGGTTCACTCATATTAGCATTAACAAAACAATAAACAAAGATTTGAATTTAAAAATATTCAGTGGTTTCAAACAAATATTATAAAAAGACTGGAATCGCATGAATCTACTTAACAAAGCCTTCCAGTGCAGCTTTAGTGGACTTTTCTAATCTGGGTTTGCTTGCACATGGTATTGGAAGCAGATATTACATCCAATGGAGGGTCTGTAGATAGAAAAATTTTGTTATTCTTGATAGAAGATTCTTATAACCAGAACTGCAGTGTCAAGCTCAATAAAGATGGAGTAAATAGTTCAAGAGCAGCATGGGAACTGGAACATTGTTCTTATAAAGTGCAAATAACCAGCACAGGACCTGAACACTGTTTTTATAAAGTGTATATAAGCCTGTATAAGTTAACATTTTTCTGACTTAAAATGTATTTCAGATAGATTCTCATCTCTCCACAGAATGAATAACTAGTGTCTTGTAATATTGGTAGCTATTTATTCTGTAGAGCTGAGTAACAATGATATCATTATAGTGTAAAAACATATCAAAGAAATCCGAGCTTACTTTAATATCAGAGGCAATGTCAATCTCAAGATACAGTTGATTAAGTCAAATATGAAGCCTTTGAGAGCAGGGGCCCAAAATCCTTTAACAAGTGCAAGTGTTAATGATGCCTTCTTCTTTACTTTTCCTGAATTATCTTTTTCTTCTCTGGCTTCAGGAATGTGCAGTTTCCCTAAACTGTTCACAAAATGTATTAATAAACTTAAAAATATCTTATTCAGAATTTTTTATTTCAGTAATTATTACTAAAAACAAACAAACAAATGTTATCATTTTTGTAGGAAATGTTGATTGACAACTTATGTTCAATACACGATTCTAGAAGAACAAGGAACATAAAGCTATCTTCCATACCAAAAAGTAAGTTGCATATAATTTATAGCAAATAGCATAAAATTATACAAAATACTGAAATTTCACCACTATGACAGCACAATTATGAAGAACTGTATTGTTATAATTTTCCTTTTACAGAACAAAAAGTTACCAATGTCAACACTAGAAACAGCATTACAAAAAATTGTTTATGATTACTTTAAAGAATTAATCAATAAAATGATATATCTTGACCTATGAATGCCATGTAAATGTCCATCTCAGTAGGCAAATCTATAGATAAGACCAAACTTACATTCAGACTGCATCAAAATAACACAGCAAATCATATAACTATGATAGTTTTTTAATTTGTTAATATGCATGCAATTCAAAACAAGATATTACAATTGACAAACTTTTCAATCATAAATAAACAAAACTGTCAGCTTGTTATACTTTTTAAAAACGTAATTTCTTGCTACTTTTCATTCTTGAAACAACAAAATAAAATATATTATGTTATAATTTTGCTAATCTAATAACAAATCTTACTTTTATCTAAACGTTTTGAAGAATTTGGCAAAAATGCAAAAGTATGAGCTAATGAGAAATATTTTTCTGAACAATTTGATATATATATATATATATAACAGTATGAAAACATTATAGGACATAAAATATATATATATATATACTAAAAAGTTATTCCTTAACTTTATCTACTGAACAAAAAATCATAACTCAAATATCTGTTTGAAGAAAAAATTATAATTTCAATAGTTGATTATAAAGGATTATTTTGTACTGTTACGACATCGAGGTCACGTGACTAGTATCACGCCACGTCATTCTCGAACCTTCATGAATTGTTGGGAGATTACTAGATATAGTGTAGTCTTGTATATATAAGACTGGCCATGAAGTGACGGGGAGACAGTGAGTAACTGAACTGCAGTCAGAGAGTATTGTTGAAGTTTAGCACGTGAGACGTTCGTTGTTATAGCGCGACTGTTGAAATTAATTGTATCGCAAAGTTATATTCAGAAAGAATAAACCAGCTTTATTTAAGAAAGGACTTGTGTCGCTAAAGTTTCGTTGGAACGAAGTTACGGAAAATTAACTAACGAATGGAGACGTAACAGTACGTATTTCATTGAATCATTAAATTAAAAATTTCATATTTTTTCTTAAAGAACATAAAATGAAATTTGTTTTTGTATACACACGGATGATCTAATAAATAAAAAAATGAAAGTTCAACTTCCATGAGAGAATACAGGTCAAAGCTATATCTCTTGATATTCTTTTACATAGCTACATCTAATAGATGATCTAATAAATAAAAAAATGAAAGTTCAACTTCCATGAGAGAATACAGGTCAGACATTAAATGGGATTGTATGGAGGCAAAAAGTCAGAGACAGAGGTTTCTTGAAGTAATTGAGGATTTTTTTCTATATCAAATGTTCAGAGCCAACCAGAAGTGATACCATTTTAGATTTATTAACCAATAATGATAATATGGCTGCAAGAGTTGAAGTGAGGAACATTTGGAAAAGAACGATCATTGCATAGTTAGATGTGATGTTTTGCTGTATGTTGAAATAAAAAGAAATTAAATTTTAGTTCTAAATTTTCAGAGTTATACCATGACACAAAATTTAGCAACAGTGAATAGGAATAGTGAGTTAAAAGGTTATGTGGGACAGACATGGAAATTTTTTAAAGGCAAATTGCTTTTAATTTAAGACAAGATGTTCTTAAAAAGACAAAAAAGGATAACATGAAAAATGAAACCTAATTGGCCTACTAAGATATTAAAGAGAAAATCAGAGGTAAATACCACAAGTTTAAATTGACAGCTAGGATGAAAGATTTACAGAACTAAAGAACAATTAGGGATTCGATTAAAAAATAAATTAGGAAGGCAAAAAGGGCCTATGAGAAACTGGTGGCTGATAATTATAAGGATGTTTTTAACTATTTTAACAGTAAACAAAATGTTAAAATGAGGATGAATCTTTAGAAGATGCTAATGAAAAGGTTTTTGTTCAAGACTATAAGATGGCCAAACTTTTAAAATTTCTTTTTATCTTCTGTTTTTATACTTCCTGAATGTAAGCATTCTATAGAAAATTGTGGAATTCACCTAATTATCATAGGTATTAATCCCTTGAGATTAAAATTTATAAAGCCCAAGACTAGAAAATGTTTCCCTAGAGATTTAAAGGAGATCAAATATGATATATGCAAGCCTCTGTGTTTCATTTTTGGTAGGCTAATTGATAATGAGTAGGTACCTACGGATTGAGGAATTGCTAAAGGTTTTTATTTTTAAAAAGGGTTAAAAGTATTGCCCTGGAAAATATAGCCAAAGAAATTCTAGATAGTCTGGTGAAACAAGCTTTGTCAAATAATTTAGTGACTCGATAATGACAACTAGATGCTCAAATAAGAGTATAACTAAACTTTAGTGATGAATAAAAACCCTATAACCCGAGCACTTTCGAAAGGTGGACCTTTCTTCTTCAGGGGCAAACTACTAAACTTTAGCAGTTATTTGTAAGTATCATAGAGTAACAGATTAAATGCGGTGGTAATTTTTTTCTCAGCCCATCCTTACATACTAAGCATTATAGTGCTTAGTGATAGTCTGTTTCCAATTGCTATTAAAATGATTTTCTACCAGACTAAAGCCATTGCAAAAACTTTACTCATTTTTTTAGGCTATGATGGAAGAAAAAAAAAAAACAAGATGAGCACTTTGGTTCTTTAGATGGTTTCCAATTCTCCACATTTCAATGATATTGAGAGTCTCACAAGCTGTAAAACAGTCAATAATGGCAATTAGACGTTCAAATAAGGCTATATCTCAACTTAAGTGGTTATTTGTAATCATCATAGATTGAAAGCAATGGCCATTTTTTATTGGCCAACCCCTACATACTAAGCACTACCATGCTTAGTGATAATGTACATTATACACTTAATATACATGAGAATCCACTTAACAGCATAATTGAAGAAAAGTATCTTGGCATAGTGATGGATAAGTCACTCAAGTCATCATATACTGGCTTACTGGAAAAAGGTTTGGACCAGAGATATTACAATAATTCTAGATTATCTGGTTATATGAAGAGGTTAAGACGGGGGTGTTACTAGCTACCAAAAATATTTGGAAATTGGGTCCAAAGAAGCAGCTACTACTCACTAGGAGTGTTCTATTTGATAGTTTATGTAAGGCACTGTGAAATAATATGTGGTACACGGCCTGTGGGCTGGTGTTCTGTGGGAACCCTGGGTTAGGATAATTTACTGTATGTTGACAAAAGAAGGGTACAAGGTGATCTCACTGAAGTTTAAAAGGTTATCCAACAACTTGATAAGAAAAAAGCCTCTGATTTCTTTGTGTTGTATTCTGAAAATAATTGGACAAAATGATACAAGTATAAGATTCGATAAAGACAAGATAGACTCAATTTCAAACAGTTTTATTTTTCTAACAGGATGATTAACTTATGGAATGAGTTGCTGCCAGTAGTAGATGAGGAAAGAACTTTGCAAGAATTTAAGATAAGTGTGCAAGGAAAGCTTTGAGGGACAAAATTAATGATCCTCATTGTTTGACTATTATACTAAACACAACAAATGATATCATTTTATATTTCATACTTTGATAAATATTGGCTCAGATTTTATCCATATCAGCTCACTTTCAAGCATAATATGTGATAGAAGAATCTAACTACATAAGCATTCAGACAATTTAACAATAAATGTGTAAGCTAATTTACTCTATAAAAATAATACAAATCTTACTGTAGATGGTAATTAAGTATGATACCAAAAATGTATTTCAAAATGAAACTTTACTGACAATTCTAATACAGAAATAGTTTCAGAGTTTTTACTTCCTACTAAAATATGTTGTTTTGACATATTCAATTTATTAGGATGCTGTTAGGAAATATAAAAATTTATTACATAAGTTCCAGAAGTAACATTCCTAGAATGATGCAACGGTCATGCCCAGATTTTAACATTTTCCTAAACTGAAAAAGTATTTCCGATAGATACCTACCTCTCTCACAAATGGCTTTTCTCGCTTTATACTGCCCTCTATATGAAAAAATGTTCACTCACCACTAGCCTTGGTACTCCCACCTGTCCTCATGTGTATTCACATGAGACATCTGCATGCTATCATGCAAATGATATGCAGCAAACCTCCATCATTAGGAGTGCAACACAGCTCACATCATTACTAGTACCGTCTCTCCTGTGCAGCCCATAATCACTTTGAGATTGGGCAGTACATGCAAAACCAACACTGTAAGTGGGGAGGACGGGTTGGAAATGCAAATAGAAGTAAGTATCTGTCAGAAATACATTTTTAGTTTAGGAAAATGTTAACTTCCGATACGATATCCTCTTACAAATAGCTATAATCCCACATTGAGTTGGTGGAGGGTCCAGTGAGAAAATGATCTCCCTTTAAAAAAGCAGCTAAAGGAAGACCATGTGGAGTGCAAATAAACAGAAGGCAACACCATGAGAGACCACACCACTTCTGAGCCAGATATATTCTTCACCCACATGCAATTGTGTCACATTAAGGGCAGAAAGAATGAAGGGACCTTCCCATCTTAATCATGTGTGTACATCCAACACTACTATCACCATATCAGCCAGGAACTTACATCTGGAGGACAGAAGGAAGATGGACAGCAAAGCGGACATATATCTCCAGTCCATAACCAGGTGGCAATAGGAATGTATCATCCAGTGATAGAAGGAGGGTACCTAGCCACACACATGCCTAGTGTAACGTGGCTAGGGTGCACCAGGCTGTAAATGGGAGATAACCTCAAACAATACCAGGAGCACCATGATAGGAATATCTGGCCCACAGTAGGAAAAGTGTTCTCTACCTTTCACCTCTGATATGGGAACTGGTAGGGAAGATGAGCCTCCCTATCAAGGATCCACATCATCACGTGTGCACATCCACCACAACCATCATCATATCTGCCAAAAATTAACATCCAGGGGAGAGTAGGAAGGTGGACAGCAAAGTGGGGGTGCATCTCAAGACTATTATCAGGTGGCACTGGGAATGTATCGTCCAGTCCATGGTAGGAGGAGCATACCTGACCACACACATGTGAGGACTTATGCGACTGGTCCATCTGGGGGATGGTACAAAGGAGGTTGCCTCAGCTGGAGAGGTGAACTACATGTTGGCAGAATGCATCATCAAACACCTGATGACAGCTGGAATTGTACATCACGTCTGTGGTAGGATGAGTGTCAATGCCATCTACATAAGCAGAACACCACCACCCTATTCTCAACTGATTGAGATTGATCACACTCAGGAGGAACCATCCATGGTCCACCACACCAGTGGCAAGGACTATCATACTTCACTAAAAGAAGGGTGGGAAATAGCGTGTTGGAGATTCAGGAGGAATGCTGCACCAGAAACAATGTAATGGGTGACTGCAATACTGTATTTTGAAAAGCAGGCCAACCCTGTGACCTAAAATACATGGATCATCTGGGATGGGAAGTAATTCCTGTCTGCTTTACTCATGTTAGTCCATGAGTGTACAGCCTGGGACAAACATCTTTGAAACTAAATACTGTGAGGCATACCTACAAGTGGTCTTGTGGACCATCCATCTCAATGGTAGGCATATATGACACACAGGTCTTACAGTATACCTGGTCAGGCAACACTCACCACTGAATAGAATCCAACTGTGTGAGAAAGACACCTGCAAATAAAATTAAGAAAAAAAGGAGTACTTACCCACTCAAAGAGGCATTATGGAGAACAAAATCGTGAGGGGAGAAATACAAAACCAAGAAGAAGAAGATGTTAGATGGTGAAAATAATGAGCAGTAAAGGTATGGGGCATGGTCCACATACCAGTGCTAATGATGTCCTCTAATGGATGATGGAAATGAGCAGTAATGAATATAGTAAGGAGACAAATTTGATGGGAAAATACACAGAAAATACGACAATCATTGGGAGAAGGGGGAGAATAAGCCAGACAAATTAACTGGCAAAACCAACCCATAAGCATAATGGGAGAAAGGTCATGGGACTGGAAAAGATTCCAAGGAAAAATAATTGGGTGCAGGAATCATGGAAGGAATCAATGCATGCCACATAATAATGGAGAGCCATAACCAAAGCTCTAAGAAGGTGATCATGATTGGAACAGTCATAGAGGTGAGATATGGAAGAAAGAAAGGTGTAAGAGCAGAATTATTCTCCCAAGCAGCTAAAGTTTTGGGCAGAAAAAATGTTCAGGAAAAAAGGACCATATAGAAACTGTGAAACAAGTAGCAAACCTGTTCATATGCCAACAGGAGGAAATGAGTCTTCAAGGTGAGGTGATATAAAGAATAGGTCGACAAAGGTTCAAAAGGAGGAAGGGTAAGGACATGAAGGATGACATTGAGGTTCCAATCCAGGAGAGAGGCAGGGTGAGGAGGTCAGGTGATGTAGAAAGTACAGAACAAATAGGATAGGAACTAAAGACACAGGCATAATGTGGCTGACAAAGCCACAAAATAGCTCGTGTCAAAGAGCCAGGTAAGAAAGGAAGTGATGTGAGGAAAAATCAGATGGGAAGGAGTATAACCACATGTATGAACCAATGATGGTACATGTACTACTTTATTTGGTACACTGCTATGGAAAAAGGATGTATGGAATGGCAAAACAAGGATGACACATGCTGTGAAAGTCCACCCACAAAGCTAGGAACTGGACTAAAGCCACACATGAAGCCTGAGTGTGGAAATGAAGAGACTGGGGCTGAAAAATAAGGGTGAGGGAAAGAGGGAGAGGAAGAGGAGGTGACACCAGTAGAACCACTAACAGAACCCGACATAGAGTGGTCTTCATGATGGAAAGGACCCAGGGAAACAGATGAATTGGAGGGTAGGCATACAGGTATAGACTCAACCAATCCATACTGAGAGCCTCCACTGTTCCAGCCAAAAAATGTGGAACAAGAGACAAAAACTGTGGGAGTTGAGAATCCAGATAAGCTGCAAAGGCATCCAGCTCTGGAACATCCCACTGGGCATAGATCCCCCAAAACACCTGTGGGTCCAGTGACCACTCCATAGGGAGAATCTTGTCGGAATGTGATAAATGATTTGCAAAAAGATTCAGGGCACCCGAAATATGACAAGCCAACAAAAGAATTTGATTGGCTGTGTGCCCAATACAGGAGGTCCAATGTCCAAAAAACAGGTCTTCCAATCAAGTGCTCCCTTGCCTGGAGATGCACGAGACCACTGTAAAGTTGTTGGAATGCACCATCACCAACTGGCCCTAAAGGTTAGGAAGGAAATGAACCAAAACAAAGCCAGACAACCTGCAAGGAGCTCCAAGAGATTAATATGGAGAGAGGACTCTGAGAAAGTTCACAGCCTCAAAACCTCCTGAGCATTCTGAAAAACATCTGTAAAAAGGCGACATTCTGGCTGAGAAGGAGGATGAACAACACCAATAGTGGTGTTGTCTCGATTCCACCACAAAGAAGTCAGTTTTAAGGAAGGAGGAAGAAAAAGAGGGGAATCAAAGGGATGACAAATGAGGCTCCACTAGTCCAACAAAACCCATTGAAGGCAATGCACGTGGGCACGATCAAGAACCTCTCACACAGTTGGAAAAGGAGAAGAGGAGAGGGTGCAAACTAGAAGCTCCATAGCCCTCAAATGAAAGGGAGAAGGTTGGGCCCAACTAAGCAGGAAATTGAACAACACCCAAAGATGAAGTAGGTATGTGTGGAGGTGAGATAAAACATCTTCACCTTCACCAACCAATCAACCTTAGCTGCTTTTCTTAGGAGAAACTGGGTATGAAGGGTAGAGTCGGCCATTGAGGAAGCTAAAAGAAGCCAGCCATCCATGTAATGGTAGAAACAAAGGCCCCGAGAATGAATAATTATGGGCAAGTGACCAGACCACCCAACAAAAAAATGTTGGAAGCGTAAGAGAATCCAAAATGGAATAGACCATAACTGAAACTTACGCATCTGATGGACAAAACAAAGATAATGTCTGGATGCAGGGAATCTATAGGAATGTATAGGTGTGCATCTGACAAATCGACCTAAGAGTGAAATTTCAATGAATGGCTAAATAGGACTCCTTGGTGAAACATGGGAGAACCAAGAAATGGTTGTGGGCCAAAAGCTTGATGATAGGGCACCAGACTCTCTCAGACCATCCCCAGAACCCAAGGGTCCGTGGCAAAGGCCTTTCATATGTAGACAAATCTGAGGAGCCTGGCTCCTCCAGGTTCTCAACCCATAACGTAGTAACTAAAACCACCAAAGATGGTGCCTCAATGACCGATGGTGAACCTCAGAAAATGGGAGATAAGGATAAAACAAAACATACCTAATTAAGTAAGTCTACAAATTGGGAAGAAGGCCTAGGAGAAGAAAGATTGTGAGGCATTATTATAGGCATGAGGGGGGAAGCAGGTTGCCCAAATTTTCATCATCATGCTTAGGGAAACTCTTGCATGGTATGTGAGGATAATCATCAGGTAAATCAGAAGATTGGATAAAAGTAGCCAACTCCCGACAAACCAGAGCCATTACTTCCTGAGCACATAAAGCTTGCTCAAGTGCCATTGAAATGGCCAGCAAATCAGCTGTAGTAATTACAGCAGCAGTGGTAGATGTCATGTGGAACTGCAAGTGCATAAACAGTGTAGTTGACTGAGAGAAAAGACATTTTCTCCAAACAGAATTTGCAAAACCATAAAAATTAGAAAAGTTGCATTTGAAAAAGAACAAACAGTAAAAAGTAACAACAGGAGTTGTGTCGCATTTCTATTGGTGGATGGTTGCTGCATGATCATTTGTATGGTAGCATGCAGATGTCTCATGTGCATACACATGAGGGTAGGTGGGAGTATCAAGGCTAGTGGTGAACGAAAATTTGCACATATAAAGAGCAGTATAAGTCGGGAAAAGATATTTATGAGTGCAGGCAAAATATTGTATTGGGTTTATACTATTCTTTTGTTTTTAAAGTGCCATATATTTACATCTTTGTGCTAAGTAACTTTAACAGAATCATTTAAAGTGCTTTAACCTTTCAGTGAAAAATGCAACTATATATAATTAAATATAAATATATTTGAAATACATATACAATACACTGATATATCAAAAATATTTGATTATTTGTAAATGGAAAAACAAATTTGGTATTTAACATAAGATAATTTTTTTAATGTTGCTTTTAAAGTATATGTTCAATAATACAAGATAGAGTGCAAATATGAAACAAATATCTATTTACAGTTTTGTTCTATATACATGTAAGTATCATTTTAATAAAAATTACATTGTTTTCACCAAGTACTTAGCTTACTAATATCAACTGTAATAGACATTGTTGAAAGGAGTTGAAAACTTTTATTAGGTAGATTAAGGATGTATAAATAACATTTCTTTTCACTGGAAAAAGAAATTTAAATGTTAATTCTTTTCAATCACTTTTTATGATGTTTTGCAAATAGTCTTATATGATTATAACAATTCTATGAAAGACGGTTATCAAAGACATTTATTTTATAGCTATTCCCTGATTTTTCTTAGCTAGTCCAGCAAAAAATGTTTTAATAATTTTAAGTATGCAGGTTGTATTTCACCTTCATTTAAACTTAAATCTACTTACATATTTGCCTTCTTCAGTTCTTTAATCCAAAAATTGTTCAGCACTGACCATGCAACTTGTGAACGGATTTCTCTTGCTAGTTCAGGCAGATCCATAAGAGTTATTATCTTTCTATATCCTTCAAGTACAAGCCTGTGATAGAAATTATGTAAACATTTCATTTAAAAATTGCAATAGTTGAAGTTGTGAGTTGGAAGTTATTGAAAAGATATTCTGCTGCAAAAAAAACTCGTAATGAAACAAAAACAACTACCTAACTTATATTTGGAAGAAGCATGAAAGATTCAATTCAAGAGTAGAATTTGAAATAAAAATTTCAGTCCCGCTAAAGGCAAAATCATATTTAAAAGTATATTAAGATGGTGACTAAAGTGCTTATGTTTTATATGCATTTTTCATTGTTTGAACACCATTTATCAACAAACGATTTTTACATGTTAAGATTGTCAAAACACCATAGGTTGAGTTTTATTTATTTTTACAACCACAAACAAACCTTTTTTATCAAAGCATGTTCACGTTTTTCAGACAAACTAACTACTAATAACCTAGCAGATCTTAGTGGTAACTATTACTAAAGTTTAACTGGGTGATGTTTCTCACCAATTTAATTAGATTAACAACAAAAAGTGAAGTAGTTCACATATGAAAATAACTTACTTTCACTTAGTACAAATTAAGCTAAAATATATAGTTATTGTTATTAACCTGCATTATAATGTAAATTATTATTGCAGCTAGTAAATATTAAATTTGTTCCTAAAAATGCAGAAAATTTATGACCAAGTAGAAAAAAATGAAATATATATAGGTTTCACTAATAATTTTTTGTTTTGAGTTATTAAGACATTTTTGATTTAGTATTTTGCTAAAAAAGGGAACTTACAGATGAAAACAAACTTGCACAATATATTTAAACATCATAATGCTCTTTCTAGGTGTATGTACAGAAACATCTAAGTAATATTAGGTACATAAACTATTAGTCCTAGCATTTACCATTCAATCCAAATGAAAAATACTCTTGATAAAAATGTTGCTTGTTGAAAAAATCCTCCTGCCTGTGCCTAGATGAGGAATGAAATACTTTAGAGTTTAGATTACAAGTTTTTACTATGCTATAAAATTAATGTAGAAATACAGTAAATTTGATGTTTATTTTTACTCATCGACTAACAAATAGAATTGCATTAAAGATGATTTTGAAACCTGCAATTATTTTCAATCAATAAGTTTAATTTCTGATAGTTTAAAAGTGTGAATGATGAACAATTTTGTCACAGGTTGAGAAATATATAATTATACCTACAGTCCTTACAAATCAATATGACAGGTTTATTTCAACAGTCAGATCGTACAGAATTTCATATGTGTTGTTTACAGCTACATGACTGCTTCATCTTCATATGGAATAGCAGGAATAATTATTTTATTCTCCAGCTTTATGAGTTCTGTAATGGTTTATCTCGTCATGGAAGCAACTTGTGTACATATGAATTTTTTGCTTTTCCAGATGCAGATTCTTCTTCATGTATGGCTTTTTTACCTGACTTTTGTGTTAGTTGATTTTCACCTGTTACAAAATGACACACTTTGCTTACCGTGACTGGGTTATGACCTGATGCAAATCCCTTTCTGGATGATCCTGTTGCTTCAAGTTGATCAAAATTTTTTGTGTTCAACTACCATGAGAACAAGGGATATTCCTATCTTGGAAATTCTAAATCTCTGATCTGAATACACCTTTACAATTCAAATTTATGAATATTTTACATCAAAAAGGGCTATTATATACCCTTCTATGAAATTCCAAGCAATATCAAAATGTTAGTTATGATACATAACACCTTAAAAAGAACAAACTTAACTGTCTGAGGATCTGAAGAGATGTACCTTAAAAAGAACAAATTTCATTTTCTCTGGGACTGAAGACATGTACCTTTAAAACAATAAATTGCACTATCTTAGAGTCTAAAGAGGTGCACCATTAAAACAACAAACTTCACTATCTCAGGGTCTGAAGAGATATACCTTAAAAACAACAATATCAGGGTCTGAAGAGATATACCTTAAAAACAACAATCTCAGGGTCTGAAGAGTTGCAACTTACAAACAAAAAATTTCACTATATCAGGCTCTGAAGAGGTGCACCTTAAAAACAACAAACTTATATCAGTTGTGATAATAACATGAATTGCTGATTTGCATTTTCAAATTCATTTTAATATACATTCTCAACTCTCTACATGGGACAAAAGTACAAATTATGACAGTACTATGTGCCCAAATAATAAAAGCAATTGTAATGATTACTCAAGAGATACTGGCATGTATGTGGGCAAAGACTGATTAACACCTGGACATCCTTCAAGCCATGAACAATGCCTATACCAAAGTATACTAATGATGCCACTGACCATGAAAAACCTGAGGTGTTTAGCTTCTATTACTCCACAAACAACAATTATTTTTCTCATGTATTTCTCATGCTATTCAATTATTAAAATAGCTCAATAATTTATGGACAACTTTTACTTTACTAACTTTTAATCATTAAAAAGCTTGAATTTTAACGCACAATCAGCACAAAAATAAAAAAATGAAAAAATATATAATCATACTAAAAACATTAAAAGATGTTACAACAAAAGAAATGCTTGACTGAACATTCAAAATAATTTAAAATTTCTTTTCTAGGTACTAATTCCATTGTGAGTTTCTTTAGAAACTACAATAATAGGTGAATATCTTATAAAAATGCTACTTATCTACCCAATAATTTGGAATACAAATGTGTATAGGGTTCACTTCAGTGGCACATTTTGAGGAATTTGCCAAAACTTACGTCGAGTAATAGTTTACTGCAAACAAAATAAAACTTAATGCACATGTACACCTATAATAGTGTGGTATGCAAGTATACTATGCATTTTCTACCTTCTTATTCTAATATTAAATTTTTCCAAATTTGTCAGTTACTTGAGTGTATATGTACTTTTCACATAACTTTGTATGTGGAAATTGAATGAAAACAGGGTCCACCTATGGTAGGTCAGTTGGCATCTTAAGGTTACTGCCCTTATAATTCAATCTGAATAACCAGTCATGTGGTTAGTGTTAGTCACTTTGGGTATGTCTGATGTTACTGTTTAACTAAGTAAAAGTAAGGTTTAACTAGTCTGGAACAGAACCTCAATGAAGGCAGTTTAGATCCAGTAAAAGCAGCCATCTGTCATATCAAGCAAGTACACACATACACTGTGTTTGTGAAAAATAAAGACTGTTCATTTTGTTTTTGCACAACTGTGATATGCAGGCATATCATATATTTTCTACCAGCTTTCGTGAAATTGATATTTTTGAAATTTTTCTTTTATTTAGCTTCTATCTGATAAAAATTGTTTTCACTGTCCTTCAGAAGTGTCCAATCTGTTTATTTTTCACACAATTTAAAAACCAGTCAAGTTGTTAACTACAGAATGATCCCCTTATATCTTGATTTAATCTGCTGTTATTTGCAAGTTTGTCTACCTGATACTTGTCAGAAAATTGGTTTTACCTGAAAATACCACACAACTGTATTTAGACTCTTTATTTCATTCTCACAAACTCTTGTTACTCAAAGAACTCAGAATTACTTTGTAGTAAATATATTGCTAGAATATCCTGTTATTTGTGGACCTATTTGTTATTCTAAAGGAAATCAGTTCAATCTGAAGAAAAAACACTAGAAGAAGATCACAAAACTGAACAACTTATTATTGCCTTATGGGTACCACTAAAACTTCAGCTCAGTGAAATCCTGAAACCTTTAGACATATCATAAAGTGAGGAGGGTTCTATGTTATGAGAAGTGGATGGGAGGGCTCTCAGATACTTTGTTTTTCAGTTCAAGTGGAAGAAGAGAATGTTTATACATTACTAGCAAAAAGTTATTGTTGAGAACAAAGGGTAAGGAACTGATGACGGAAGAGAGAAATTAATTATACATTTAACTTGAGGTAAGGTATCTTGGAAGAACTCAATCTCACAACTGCCCAGCACTTTCAAACCGACTCAAGACATTTTTTGAGGTTTATTATTACGAATTTCGTGCAAAGCTACACGAGGGCTATCTGCGCTAGCCATACCTAATTTAACAGTGTAAGACTAGAGGGAAGGCAACTAGTCATCACCACCCACCGCCAAATCTTGGGCTACTCTTTTACCAATGAATAGTGGGATTGACTGTCACATTATAACGCCCCCACAGCTGAAAGGGCAAGCATATTTGGTGTGATGGGGATTCGACCCTGTGACCCGCAGATTACGAGTCAAACACTCTAGCCACCTGGCCATGCCGGGCCCATTCTTTGAGTAATAATGAAGACAAAACTCAAAACATCTCTCATGTACAATAATCTAATGCACATACATTCTTTAAATCTTGGTATGCCTGCTTAGCTAGGAAAGTTAGATGTAAAATAAAAGTAAACATATTATTTATTTCAGAAATATAGAAGAAACTGAAATATTGATGAAAGTGACAAAATTTGTTTCACACAAATTATAGTCAGTAAAATGTGTGGAAGAGTAATAATATTATTGTAGTCTCTATTTACAATTCACACATTTCTAGAAATAGTATTTTTGTTTAGCTGGAATCAAGTTTATTGTAAAATGATGGGTGTAGTGTTAATGTCTGAAACTTCATCCAAACTTTAGAAAACAATTTGAGTCACATATTAAAAGTGAGTTAATGAAGTGATGAGGTCATGAATTACTAAGTTTAAAATTAAGATTGAATTTCAAGATGATATTTACATGAAGCATGATTGAAAATGTTATGGAAGTAATGAAACAGTGGAAAGAAGATCAAGAAGAAAGGGACAGGAAATGTTGGATACATAAGACTGTTTAGTGTAAGAGATATTATTCAGTCCATTTAGTGATCTAATATTTAATGATTATTTATTTTTCATATCAAGAGTGTTAAAAGTAATTATCTTAAAAAGCGATAGTTATGACAACTTTCATTACATAACTCACATTACTCAAACCTTCTGTATTTTTCTTGTTGCCTTAAGTGAGTATTGTTACATCATAGCATCTCATAGTTTGTAAACAGTTCTAGGGCTCAATTGGTATATATATATATATATACAGGTGACCAAGTGAGCACAACTCAAAAAATTTTAAGTAAGTGAAAATGAAGTTAGAGTGTGTGATTGTTAATTTAGCCATAACGGGCAATATTTAAAGTGAGTTTTACAGTGGTATTATAATAAAAGAGATAAGGGAGAATAATTTGTTTTATCAAAGGGTGTTCTAAAGTAGTTGAACCTACATGTGTGGACTTTAACAAAAAGGAGACAATTATTTAAAGTTCTGGATACAACTGTAATAACCCACAGGGTATCATAAGTGAATCTATTGTAGATTGTGCAGTAAGAAACAGAGTAGAGAAAAATTGTTTTGAATATATATTATTTTTAAACAAGTGGATTGTGTGCTGTCTGTTTAGTGTTGACATTTATCGCCAACAAGTCACAGACACCTACTGTAAAAAATTCGGCCCTATAAATATATAAAACTGACATTTGGCGAGCCAGCCAGGATTATACAGTGGTAAATAGCAGTAGAAAAAGATGTGAACAACAGCGGAAGTAGACCTATATACGCACAACTGTAGTGGTGGTGAAAATAGTGTAGGGATTACAATCACACTAGATAACCAAGTTGGTTGATTTGGATAAATGCATAAAAAGAAATGATCATTTTGGGCTAAAAGATAATGAACTACTAGAGTTTGTCAAACAACAACAAGAATTAGAGAGAGAAGAGCATATACAGAGAAGAGAGGAAGAAGGGCTGAAAAAAGAAAAGGAGAGACTGGAAATAGAGAGAGAGAGAATAAGACATAAATTGTGAAAGAAGAGAGACTAGAAATAGAATAAGAGCACAAATTGAGATCATCAAACTCACTAAACAGAAAGAAGAAGGACCCAAGAATGACAATGGAGTCAGGGACATCTGACCAAAGCTGCCCAAATGTAATGAACAGAAAGATGATGTGGATGATTTTCTG